ACGTATTCGTTTTCGGCAATGCCTGCATGTCCAGGGCTCCAAACAAACTCGATGGATTAAACTCGCTTTATCAGAAATAATGATTTAGGACTTGTTTGACTTTCTGATCCCGGCTGGAGTGAGAATTCCATTGTCTCAAAACCCGGAGTAATTTTTCGCTCACGATAACAGAATGGAATCTTCCCTTTCTTTACAGAAATTCCAGGAAGGCGACACCCCCTGTTGCGTAATCAATTGTCAACAAAGAAAAGAACTATCATACTCCCCTAAAATTCATCCAGCCCCCGAAACTGCCTAAATCCGGCTTCTGTCGAAGGGACGGTTTGAGGCGGGAAGTTGCTCATAGGGTTAAATGTATTTTGTACTTCCCAACATGAAACCCCTCTGACCAGCCAATTTACTTGGGAAAGGGGGAGGGGCGCTGGAGAGTGATTTCACTGTATATGGACAAATGGTAATAATTAGGAGTTCACGTAAATGATCATGACGTGCACAGCGCAACTCATTTTAGTATGTTAGGATATAATTTAGATGAATTGAACTCAGTTGCAAACTATATTAGGATTATGGTGAGTCAAGTTCATGAGAATATACGGACTGTCAAAAGGCGCCATGATATTCAGCACAATCGATGCGAGTCTGCACGTTTTATTTCTCTAAATTAGGTATGTTTCGGCAAATTTTCAGAAGCTACAGTGAGTTGTTCGCATTTCACCAAGAACTGTATTTCACTGTTTGTTACAGTTGAATTTACTGTTCATAAATTAACCCGAACCCAAATCTGGAAAACGGTGTATGGAATCGGAAAATTACTTAAATTTCATATTATCAGAAACCTTTTCTTCTAAGTGTAACGTTTAGCTACAAAAATAGCAGGGGCACCGCCCCGTGACCGCACAACAACGAGGTCTTTCGCGGTGGCTTGGAGCGGGCCTGCAAAACGTTTAGCTACAGTTGGCGATGGTTGAGAGAACGCTTGGCGTGATCCTTCCTTCCTAGCGGAGGGTTGCTTTTTACTTTCTCATATACGTATACCAAGAGAAAGTAAAAAAAAACTGAACTCGAGATTTTGATGAATCTCCACGTTTTAGACCTCCCTGAGTCCGAAAAACACAATTTTGGAATTATGGCTGCCTGTCTGTGAACACGATACCGAAAACTATTAGAGATAGAGCGATGAAATTTGGTATGTAATCTTTTCACATAATTTGTAAGTTTCTGTCAAATTTTGGCAAAATCCGCCCACGGGAAGTCTGTCTGTTTGTCTGTCCGTGTTAATGAGAACACGATAACTCAAAAACTTAAATAGCTAAACAGATAAAATTTGGAACGCAGTTTCATCATCAAGAATGTAGGTTCGTATAAAATTTTGAACCAAATCCTTCAAAGGGTTGACTGTCTGTCGGTCTGTATAATCGCATACGTTTTAACACGATAACTTCTAAACCCTATGATTAGGTAAATAAAAATTGGTATGAGGTCTGATAACATTAATTGTACATACGTGCCCAATTTTTTTTCCATCGGTTGAAAAAAAGGCCTTCAAATCGCACATTCAAATCGGGCACTTCGCCAATGTATGACGCAATAAATAGGAGCGAACGACTCGCGTGTTTACCCCACCTGTGTTAGGGAATCGTCCATGTTACTGCCGCTCTGTGCATTTTTTCTCCACCCGCGTTAGGGCGAATGTTAGGGATGGCGGTTATTGCGAAAATAACCGCTTTCGGTTATTCAGGTTTTCTTCACCATCGGTTTAAACTGGCGGTTATACCCTCGCAAAACAACCAGTTTTCGGTTTGTTTTATAAAAAAACAAACGCCGTTTGTAGACAAAATGCTTTATTAATATTGTTTTCGTAGAAAATCAATCCATTGGCCAATATTTATCTGCTCATAAAGACTCTTTCAGTAATCCGCCAATCAAAAGACGCTTCGAGGAAGCGGTTGTCATTGATTGGCCTAAGATGAAATTCAAAGCTCCATAATTTGGTAAATTTTAGTTTAATTGAAACCAAAATCGAGCCTATCTTCCGATCCGGTTTTTTAACACGGTTATTGGATTTTTAAAAAATAACCGGTTACAACCGGGACAAAAAATTAACCGAATAAAACCGGTTAACCGGAACAAAAAAAAAAAGGTTTTTTGGTTAAAACCGGTAGGTTTTTCCCATCCCTAGCGAATACGAGAAAGTTTGGGGGTCACCACTCTCGCTGGTTGTGAAAACGTTCGCTATAGAGTTCTGCTTCGCTCTCAGAGAAAGAGAAAAGGATGGATGACATGTGTGACTCGTTTGTGGTCGGTTTTGAAATAGCGCTGGCTTTTCAGTGCGACGTAGTGCACTAATTTTGTTTATGTGTTGTCTGTCTTGTATTGCCTACGTGGAAATAGTTGCATATTTTTTCTAAAATCTGGTTACTTTATTTCAAGAGACAGAAACATCACACTGAAACAACTATTAAAGATATTTTAACAGCTTATCATAACTACGAGCTTGATTCCTTCCAATTTCTATTTCAAATTAAATTTTTAACCGGAATTAACAGTAATTAGTTTAATAAAAAGGAAAAATCAAAATTAAATGTAGGGGTGAAATAGTACTCTGTATCGAGCGGAACGCCGTAATAGATTTTCCGTTGCCTTTACCGTAGTAGTGTAGTTTAGGGATGGGGAAAACCTACCAGTTTTAACCGAAAACCGGTGTTTTCTGTTTTGGTTAACCTGTTTTTTTTCGGTTATTTTTTGTCCAAGTTATAACTGGTTATTTTTTTTAAATCCAATAACGGGGTGAAAAAAATCGGAACGGAAGTTAGGCTCGATTTTAATTTCGATTAGACTAAAATTTACCAAGTTCTGAAGCTTTGAATTTCATCATCTTAAACCAATCAGCGACAACCGCTTCCTTGAGGTGTCTGTTGGTGAGCGGATTACTGAAAGAATCTTTATGAACAGATAATATTGGCCAATAGATTGATTTCATGTAAAAACAATATTAATAAAAAAATTGTCTACAAATGGTGTTTGGTTTTTAATTTTAAAAAATCAAAAACCGGTTATTTTGTCCGGTTATAACCGCCATGTTAAACCGCAGGTGAAAAAATACCTGAATAACCGAAAACCGGTTATTTTCGCAATAACCGCCATCCCTAGTATAGTGGGAAAAATTCAGCAATAAGATTTGAATAAATTCCAAACGAAATCCATCTTCTCGCCGGTGGACTTTGTTTGGAATTTTATACCAATCTGCAATTATGGTGCAAAAGTAAATTTTAAAAAAAGTGAATTCAAAATCACATAATATTTAAAATAATGAGTTAACATTTAAGGAATGAAAAGTAGAAACAAAATTGAAATAATTAAATTCCTCTTTTCTATTACTCTAATAAATGTGCGTTTTTAAAAACTATGTTTATTTATTTTATTTTTTACCTGTTGATGCGAATTTCTATCATGCTTATTCTCATCCTATGATAACATTTTTCTGTTTTTCGAGTCAAAATATGTTATTTCCCATTAGAATAGTTAAATTATTTTAATTATTCCCTGAGAAAGAGATGGTTTATATTTTGGGAAGAAAGTCATAAATTTTCAAAATCCAGTGGATGAGGAAATGGGGTCGGAATTGAAATTCATATGGAAATTTTGGATTTAAAACTTCTCTATTATATTGAGGTTTATCCCGACTTCAAAATTCTTCCATTACAATACAAGAGAAAGTGAAATTTTAAAGGCAAAATCATGCCGGCGTTGCCTAGTATTAAGATTTCGGATTGGAAAGCACTGAAAATTCGAAACTCAATTCCATCAAGGTTCTGCAGTGTATGTGTGCCTGGCACACGTGAGTCAAACAGCCTTTTGCAGGTATGGCGTAGAAGATTGGAGAAGACAGTGCTGACTTAGCTGTCATCCTGGTCACCTGACGATAGTTCAAAATGTCGACAATCGATTAGTTGCCGCGGTGGCCTAGTCGTAAGGTGTCGTCCTCGAAGCTGGAGGATTTCCAGGTTTGAAGCCCGTTTTCACTTACATTACATTACACCGCCTGAATCTCCGTGTTTAGAGCTATTTGTCTCCTTTCCTGTTTGTATGGATGGAGGTGAATTTTATTTATTAGAAAGGGCAAAAACATATAACAGGTACAAAAACAAATAATAATGAAAAAAGAAACATGCACTGGACAGAACAACATAGAAAACAAAACAAAATGGAAGAAAATAAAAATACGTAGAAGAAAAAAAGGAAGTCATAAGTAGCCGGAAGTGTGTGTCAGCCTGGGTGGATGCGTGGCTCAATGATTATCCTCTGCAGTTAGATTGTTCTCATCACATATGAAGCGCATTAGGAGACGAAGTCGGGTTCTTGATAAGTTATTCGTGAGAATGTTTTTCAACCACTGTAATCTAAGTGACACTGCAGGAGTTTGGAAATACCAGGAGAGGGAAAAACGGACATTTTGTGGTATAGTGCATTGGTTCTCCTTTTTCTCCGCACGAGAAGTTGTTATGTGTTCGAAGATTGAAACGATGAAGGCATGAACGGAAGGGTCCGTGTCCTGCAATGAATATTAGATCTTCTTTATTCCATCCTACTGGCTTGTTTGAGACGCTAGGCACTATATCGTGTGTACTGTGGCCAATTTCTCAGTTATCCTAGTTGTCTTGCCAGATGCTTAAAGCAGCTGACCTTACCTCAGATTTCAGGTGGGAAATTAGGTTAGATAGAAAGAAAGGGTCGCCTTTTGTGATGGCTTCTTTGGCTAATTGGTCTGCGCATTCATTGCCTAAATAACCGACGTGGGCTTTGAGCCATCTCAGGTGAATGTGTTTATGGGAGAGCAGAAGGGTTTGAATCTCTCGAAGATCAGTCCTGTATTGGGCCTGTTGCACATGTAATCATATCTAGGGGTCAAACGACCTCTCGCTGGTGTGGTGCCCATAACCCACGTCCACCGACTCACCCATAGGGTTTAGAGTCCACAAGGACGGACGGGTTAAGATGTCAACAGCACGCGGTGTTCCCAGGTGTCAAAGTACTGACCGCTCCCGATGCTATTTGACTTCGGTGATCAGACGAGAACCGGTGATTTCAGCTTGGTATGGCCGTTGGCCACTGGTGTGGTGCGGAAGTTTGGAGAGGGGGTACCAGCTCAGGTGTCGTTCTCGACATCTGACCGCGGTTCAAAATGACGAGGTCCGTCCCAAAATAGCCCTCGTGTTGCTTCAAAATGAGACGTCAATATAACTAAACTGAACTACGATAATCGATTCATTGCGATCGATCAAAATTACGATGCTTTACCAAAATTGTAGAAATGAAATAATGCATGCAAAAATTAAAGAATAACATTTATCTAAAAATAGCATGTGATCCGAAAGATCACATTAGGCATTAATAGCTGCGCCTTACGAAAAGTGATTTAGCTACCGATACTTTTATAAATTCGCTTTATTTTATCTCTTTCATTAAAAAAAATATTATGATTTTTGTTAAGCTATTAAGACCTTTGACATTTTACATTCCTGAGTCTGATTAATTATGTAATAAAATAAATGTATTCTTTTCGATTAAAACAAAACACTCTAGTTGTTATTTGACACTTAATTTATTATAAAAGAAACTCGTTTAATTAAATTTTTGCAGCATGATCATAAGGTGAAAAAATAATTTGTTTTCAAAGATTGATTTTCAGTTGTCGACAATTTTAAGGCTTTATTTCTTACAGACAAAAAGAAAAAATAATTAATTCAAAGAAGATAACTTTTGAATAATGGTGTAATTATTGCTTTTCTGAATTTTAATTTGTTCTCATATTTCATACATAATAATTAACGCAAGTTTTCTGCATTCTTATCCAAATTGCCTCTAAACTTCGAAATATTTGTTAAGAGAAAGGAAATTTTAGATGGCAAATAATTTAATTAGTGCAACTTTATAGTTTTATTGATAATATTTGTATTGTCTGTAATGCAATTAGTTTAAGATGCAAATAGCATCAATATAAATGTACAATTGTGTGAGTTTTATTTTGTGTATTTAGATAAGAAAATTCAAAGCATGCAGAGGCTTCTCATAAACAAGCTCTGCTACAACAGATAGTAAAAAAATGTGCCTCTAAATACTATTAAATCAAAATACGTGCGTTCAGTGACATGTGTAAAAAAACAATGATATTCCTGCATTTTAACAATATTAAGGAGCGTAATTTTATGAAAACTCATGAATTATGGATTTTAACACGGGACGCTGTTCTAAAAATGTACAAAATTTTTTTAGGCAGGAAAATAAGCCTAACTGAGTAATTGGTTAAGTAAAAAATTAAATGGTTGCAAATAGGAATAAAATTAAAATATTGAAAAATAAAGTAAAGCTAAACAGTTAAGAAAAGGGGGAAAAGCAGGAAACACAATTAAACAAAAAAAAACTCGCAAAAGTTTGGAATACTGCCAATTTCTGATTATCCCTATTATTCGAGATCGTCTGTCAACCACTTCGGTTCCAGTAGAGGTATAGAAAATGTCGTTTTCCTCTACTTATACATCATTTCACCACAAACTCTAAACGATTATGAACATGGGCAGTTAATTATTTTCTGATCATAAAATCTCTCATTTCTGATAGGAATTAAATTTGGAATAACGTCTAAAGTATAAGAATCCAATATAATTGCATGTAAAATTAAATTAATTTAAAAATGGCGAATATGATTATGAAGAACATTTCAAATTAAACCGCATTTAAGCTTTGTAAATTTTTAAACATGAAAGAATTTTCCCATAATCGTATAAAATTATTGTGCCTAACACAACATTATCAACGCTAATGTGAGACATAAATGCGGCGTAAAAGAGAAAGTGCTGAGTGTTCCTAATGACGGTAGTTAATCCATTCCAAAAAACATGTTCTCTGCGTGTTGTTTTATTCATCAGATGCACAGATAATGGGGTTTTTTTCTTTGTTTACTCTTACCTAAAGATATTTACAGTCGAGCATACAGTAAATGGGATCTTTTTATATAATGATTAGTAAATGCGCATGCAAGACATGATGGTAAGACTTAATCATAGTCATTCTTGAACACTTAAACTGGGGCGCTTAATTTAGGGATCTGCATTTCATTTGAACACTATCTTTTATTTATTTACTGTCTGTCTCTTTATAACTACCTTCTTAAGTAAACAATAATCGTCTTCTTTTGCATTGCTTGAAATTTTATTGAAAACATAAATTAATATAATATTTCAATATTAATGTATTTTATTAGTAATACATTGAATTCATACAAGTCGCTCGTAGCTAAATTTTCACATTGAAACCCCTATAGATTGAAAACTACTGAAACAAAAATTATAATAATTGGAAATAATAATAAAAGAAGCTATAGAACTTTATATTCTGTAAAAAAATATTAGTACTAGTAATAATAACTATTGTAAGATGTCACTGTGAAGGAGAAAACACTGTAGTTTCAAGAGCAAACCCATGTATAACCGGTGACGTGAATACACATAATTGCAGCGTTTGGAAGAAAGAAATTCTTAAAAGGGAAAAAAAGAAAAGGAATTTCCTGTCAAAACTCGCTGCACTGACTCGAAGTCACCGTCAGGTGTGTTTTACTGTCAGTTTCATAATTGGACTATTCTTCTTTGCGATTTGAGCCAGGTCATATCACCTGCGATGTAAGTACCATCTGCTATGAATACATATTAAGTAGAATGATAGTACATGATTGACAATTATCTACAATTATGCATAGATCACGTGTGAAATATCATTCATCTAGCTTGTTGCGTTTTGGAGTTCTTTTGTTGTGTTAACACAGGCAGACTTTTCGTTGACGGATTTCATCCAAAATTTGACACATCTGGAATTCTGGTATGCACTAATTTCGTTCATCCATTTCTTTCTGATTTTGAGTTATCGTCTTCACAGACAGACTGACATAAATGCAGGCCTAAAATGTGGAGATTCACCAAATACTCGAGGTCGAATCTATGACGATTACTATATTTTCTCTTTGCATGTTTATTCTGAAGAAATTCAAACGTGATCAATTTCAGATGACACAGCTCAAATTTAAATGATTAATTGGTCCTAACAATATTTTTCAGATACAATCCCATATACTATCAGTGCATCTGTTACCGTTAAGTCGTATAATTCAGTTATTTCATGTAATAACTTGGCAATTCATGAGATACCTAGTTATTCTATGAAAGAGCGGATCGAAAATAACAAGGTAATTCATGAAATACCAAATTATTCCATTTAAAAACGGATTCCACGCTTTAACTGTAACATATTAAATATAACATTCTCAAAAATGCACACTGTGTGTTAGTATGTGTTTTGAAAACAATATTGGATTGAATTGATTGTAATTTTTTGAATATCTTCGATTTTCTCAAAAGTTATGCACATTAGAATATAAATATTGTATCATATCCTTAATATCTTCAATAAAGTTGACAGACTGTCTGATCGTTAATCCGAGACTAAGTGTAACCTGGGTCCATAACGCGAGAAGCTACAAGACTACACGTGTAGTGACTTTGGTGGGAAGGATAGGATATCCATTAAAGGTAAGGAGAGAATAAAAGAAATCAGAAACAACTAACTAGTCAATTACTAAACATTTTTCAAAAATAAAAGAAGGCAACAACAGGTAAATAAAGAAAATATTACATTTTGCTATTACTTTCACTGTTTTTCTTTCTAATTTTGTCTTTTTTTCTTTCGGCCTAATTTTGTCCTTTTGTTCTTTCTGACCACATTTGTTTTATAATGGTGTATAACTAGTGTGCGTTTTAAAAGCTGGGAATGACATTTCTTCAGACATCAATTTTTTTAAAAAAAATTATTTAACCTTTTATTTTTAATATTCACTGTTAACTTCTTCCCTTAGAGGAAGATTAATTTTAGGCGGTAGAGGAAAACCCAGAAAATTTCTGGTCATACAACTTAAGAGATTATTTATGTATGTGGAGCTAATGCACCAAGTACAATAGCTCTTCCGATCTGGCCGAAGCCGTATGAAATTTTGTAAACGTAGCCCACTCAGCACAAATGCAGCCAACTTTTTCTACAACACCACTGAAATGTTCGTGTAGGTCTGAGTTTTCACCGCCACTCCATAACAAATAAAACAATTATAATATAGCGAATAAAACAAAAGGAACTCAGGAAGAGCTCCAATCCAACTCAGGAAGTCAAACGTGAAGATATGAGCTTTTTAAGGATGTCAATGGAGCCTTTTTTGTAGGTTAAGAGGTTAACTGATAAACGAGACAGTGCGGGGCGTTTTATTCAAATTCGAAACAAATCTGGACACTTTTTTATACTCGGCGCACAAAGCAAAATTTCGAGACTGTCCTATTTAGTCCAGGATTTCTTCTGGTCGCTTTAGTTACATAATCACGCTCTTTTTTTTAATTATTTCCCAAGAGTATTTTTGAAATATGCATATTTTATGAATAAGAAATATTTTTCGAAACTAAAAGTTAAGTTTGTCCCTTTTTATTCAATTAATTGTCTCCTAATAAATTCTGATCCGAGTAGACGTCAGATTTTTTCTCTGGAAATCATATTTTCTGCTTCGTAGCTGCCATCTCGCCGTGATAAAAAGAAATAGATTATACTTCAGATTTTATGACGAAAAATGAACGAGAATAATCGAATGAAAAAAGACTCTCAATTATTATGCATTAGGCTGGAAACATTTTTCCTTCAAATTCGTTCACTAAATGAAACTATGGTTTATGGAGATTTCTGTAATTTATGCGAATCCACATTTAGTTGTTTATTTCTCATCAGATTATTTTTCATTTATAGTTCATTTCGTAATTTTTTGGCTCATTGTTTGAGTATTTATGAAGGGATTTCAGATCGTCTCTGTAGTTAGTAAGCTTAACCTCAGAAAAGGAAGTTTAGAGTCATGGCGACTGCCCCCCCACGAACTCTAATTGAATTACAAATGCTGTAGGAAGAAGGGAAAATCTCCACCTCCTAGATATACAGGGTGTCCGAAAATTTTGCGACACATTTCAAAAATTAATAAAAAAGGCCTAATAATGCTATAACTACGTTTTTTAAAAATAAGAGCGCAT